TTCACATCCAGATTGGACTACAATTTAGACCTCGTATAGGTCTTATCAACACCCCAAGTGGGAGTCGAACCATGACAATGCAGCCTGTAATCTCGACACGTTAACCACTAGGCCACATTGCCACCAGTGTCCCTGGGCCACAGAGTATTACATTCACATCTTCCCTGTAACCCCAGGGCACTTATGGCAATGTGGCGTGACGGTTAACGTGTTGAGATTAGAGGCTGCATTGTCATGGTTCGACTCCCAATCGGGGAGTTGATGAAACCAGTTGAAGCGAAGTATAAACTGCAGTCCACTTCAGCCGGAATAAAAAATGCCCTTTGGTAAGCAAGGCTAAGCGAAATTTAACGGAATTGTAGGATCTATTCATATGATTGTTGCGTGATCCAACTGCCAGCTCCTCTATCACCTTAAACGAAATAGGATGAATACATTTTAATGATAGGCTTGTCTTTCTTCAGCATGAAATAGCTACAAGCTTGACCTTAATTATCGGCAACAATCGTCGATCGCTCGAGAATGGGTGACCGTCGAGAAACGGCGCCCGAGAGCTGCGTCACCTCGAACGTTCCAGCATTGTCAAATCACAATGAACTGAGGATACCACCGCTTCATTCTGGTCATATCTGGTTGGGAGTGCCATTATCTGGGATGCCCGGATGAAAGGAAAATGGTCTCCATCTTCTCTCCAAGCGTCGGCTTTGCGTTGATCCGCAGTTCGCCGACTGGTGTTCTCAGTCAATGGGGTGCATGACGGTCTGATTGTGCAACTGTTGGCTCATCTGCGCTGTTGGCGTTGTCGGTCGGTTCTTGGTCTGTGCTTAAATCAGGCTCAAAACCGGGCCAATCTCTACGTACGCCAGGACTTTCATGAATAACGTTGACAATGTTTTGCTTTTTTGTCAGTTTTACATTTCTTTCGAGAACAAACTACTAAGTTAAAGCTATTCGCCGGTAAAGTCGTCTAAGGCCAGCTCTTTCCTTTTACTAGGATCTCAGACGAAGAATGTACCGTCTGTGGGTGGGCTGGAGCCCATGAAATCGCATTTGCCGACTGGGTGAAAAATGCTTCTTCACTAAAAAAAATAAAACTATGCGTTAATGTATTCATTCATTCGTGAATTTGCATACTTTGTTAAAGGGACCCGTTAACTTTACATTTGTGTCTCTTTTGTTGCCTCACCCCATTTTCACTCAGGAGGACCGCAAGCTGATAAAGGACCGCCCGGCAGAGGCTTCAGTCTTCTCGTTCGTCCAGATTCTGACTGCTGTGTTTGGATCTTTTGCGCATGGCGGTAATGATGTAAGGTAAATGAGCTATACGAGAAACCTTCTACAGCGAACAGATTTGCTTCAGATGCTCGACGTTTGATGTAGACCTATATTCTTAGAAAGTATAGACACAAATGAGAGCCACCAAACAGTCAAGTGAATCCGATTGTGTTAGGCCAATTAAGCCTCCATCAAAGCCATCCTTGACCGAGTAGTCTTTGTGCCCGCTCGACCGTCGCTTACAGTGCGTGTTTTTGCTAACCGACCATATTTTAGGCCGATTACTCATGTCCATAGACAATGTTCTACCTTAAATCCAAGCTCAATTCATGGTTGGCAGCCTCTTTTGCATCAGATATTATTCAGTTTGTGAGTTTTCATAGTTCGTATGATGTGTGCATTAGTGTTATAACTTTGAGATATCCTTTTCTGGGATAGGAATTAATCAGGACCCACTTGGTGGATTACTTGATTCCACCACAACATGTGTTCTATAAGCTGCGTTTTTGCCCAAGATTGAGTAGCATTTCGGACTCGCATATGCTTTTTATAAACAGCCCTTGCCTTTAGACGAATGCCTGCCTCGTATAGCCACGATGGCTGCCGGTAGATTGGTACTCTGTGGAGCTAGCACACAAGATGTTTTGTGCCGTTGTTTTATCGCGACAACTCCACCATCTGTACTCCATAGAGCTGGCCACAAGCGAGGGCGTTGCGCAGGCGATTTCCGAACTAAGAGAGTCAACGGCTGAACAGTTCAAGCGTCACTTTGAAGTTTCGAGCTTCCATCTGGATCGAGAGATGAGAGGAAGATGAGGGAAGAAATCAACTAAAAATTTATGAGCCTGGAAAACACACACCGAGAATCTAGACGTCCTAAACGGAAGAGTTTTTATCAAGATTATACTTAACAAGAATACAGGCGTATCTTAAGCGTATTCGTATGTGCCTATTGTTGAAATGGCTGATCCATTTGAACACTCATATTCCCATCCACCTTTGATCCTCTGTCCACCCTCTTCCCCCGGACCCATTCAACTGGCTCTGCCACCGTCCCATCCAGCAATGCCATTGGCCCATTGATTGGACTTTGGCTAGTCGGCCGGACCCAGGAGGTAGTCACCGAAGCTGCCGTTCCCATATGGATTCTGCTCTTCGGCGGTTTGGGCATCACTATCGGCCTCTGGGTGTGGGGACGACGAGTCATTCAGACGATGGGAGAAGATCTGACCACAATTACACCATCCAGGTAGGCCTGCTTTGATGATTATTTCAGATTCTCCTCTGGACGATACACGCTAGTGTCGTTACTTGCACCTTTTTACACTCTGATCCCATTCACATTTCACCCCCAAGCCATCTGAATCCTCTTTAGAAATGAGCTAACCCGTGACATTTTTCGTTTATACTTCGCTTATGAAGATTAAAATTGCAGCATATCTGAGAGGTGTAATCACTCTGTTTGATTTCAGGCGATAAGGGGACTGTTCATTGAATTTTCCCACAATAATGTGAGTAGACCTTTCGCTTTCAGTCAATTTCACTCAGCCTTGCTTTCCCAAGAATTATTCTCATCCGGACAGGAGGGAACTGCAATTTCGACTAAGCCCGATCTGAACTCACCAGTACACCTGGCGGGACTCGAGCCCAGCTCGTCATGGCGCAGCGTATGATCTCGACACTTTAACCACTTCTCCAAACTGCCACGAGTGCCCTTGGGTCACAGTACAGATGTGAATTTCAAGCATTCACCCATACCTTATTCTGCTGTGGGATCGCAACTATGAAGCAAAGTTGTATTTGATATCACGAAAAATATGTTATCTAGTCTTTTGCTATATAAAATAGAACCCCACTTTATCAATGATCCATTCATATAATGTGGTATGCGAAATTGCTTGATCTTCCTTGAAATTCACATCTTCCGTGGCAATCTGGCAAAGTGGTTAACGTATCATAATTATGCGCTGCGCTGTGACGATCCGAGTTAGAGTCCCGCTGGGTTACTGATGAGACGAAACTGCATTCCCCTCCTGCCCGGATGAGAATACCATTTGTGCAGCAATATTATATGAAATTCAATAGAAAAATAAGGTCTGCCTCCACGAATGTGGGAAATTTGAACTACCATTCCTACACCCGAACGAATTAGAGTGAATACATCTCATTTTTTACATTGCTGACCCCAGTTGACTTTTGGGAATCAGCTCTCTATGGTAGGTAAACCAACTGCTATGGGATTTGTATCGCAGATAGTAAGGCCAATGGATATTCAGATTGAGCTGAAAAATAAAACAGATCATAAAGGTTCTTACTAGCTCTGGAATTCCGTTTTGTGATTTTCACCCAGGGATCTGCGGGCCACACAACTTGAACATGATTGGAATTAGTTTAACCTGGTCATATTGACAGGAAGACCTAGAGGAGCGCATCTTGTCCGACTCTGGAAATTAGCATGCATACCATG